CCAGCGGGACCTTCGAAATGAAAACTACAAAGAGACATTCAAAATATGAAACAAGAGAAACGAACTTACGTTGAGATAGAAGTAGAAGGAGTCTTTTCAATATTTACTTCAGCTACAGGGATACCACGCCTTGCAACAATCATAGCATAGGCTGCAGCCGGATAGATAATTGCTGATGTTCCCACCTTCAATAGGTTCTATAGAAACGAATGAAATGGAAAAGAAAATGCTGACATACAACTAAGAATAGATCACATTGAGTGATTTCTTCATCGATTTTTTTCAAAACGTCAGGCCAAACTGATTCTTCAAACCAAACGACATAAGGACGAACAAGAGATTGACATTGACGACAACTAGGAAGATCTTTCACTGCAATCTCAGGACCATTCTCATTTGGTAATCTAAAATGTTTAATCATGATTAACTCCAGTATTGTGAAAAGAATGAGAAAAATGTTTACCCTCGATTTCGTAGAGCTTCACAAATTGGACTATCGTTGTTTTCTTCAATAAAACCACAGGATGTACATCGAGTCGTGAAAAGATTACCTATTAAAGAGTATTTTATTCAAAAAATAAAAATGAATTATTCAAATATTTACTGATCGTGTATTTCAAGAAGATTACGAGAACCAGCTCGTCGATGAAGACCTAATCGGAACAAAGCAAAATATAAGAAATCACACAATTCTTACAAGAAATACTAACCATCAATATTTTGAGTTAACATAAAAAAAATGTTTTCCTTCTTCCTCAAAACGTTTTTCAGCTTCGGCCAATGCTAAATGAGCCTAAAAAGAATCGATCATATACATTTCATAGACAAATATATTTTGAATCTCGAAACTTTATTAGGTTCTTTAGTTCGCATAAGTTCTCGTCGATAATGATAAGATTCCCAAACAAGTGATGGTGATCGAGCAAAAGCTGACGGCGTAGCCAAATCCTAACAATCAAAAGCATTACATCGAATAAACTGTTTCAAATAACGAACTGTGACATGACGAAATTCGGCGAATTGTGGATTCGTCTGCTTAGAAAAGCCGTTCAGAAAAATATCAAACAATTAAATTTCAATATCATACCGTAATAGCAGCCATATTTTAGTAGAATCTGAAAGAGAGATAGATTATTATGTCTTCTTTAGGAAGTATTCGTCTCTTATTTGAATGTACAAGAGACGAGCATATAAAAAAGTTACAAGAAAACTCGATTGCTCAACAAAGAAGTCTTTGTTTTTCAATAGATTTACTATGTTTGCCTTGCCTCATCTTATCTTCTGACAAGAATGAAATGTATTGTTTGAATAACATGAGTCATGCGCAACCGGCAATGAAAACTTGTTTGACATACATACTTTGATTGCTTTTTCTGCCGTGAAAAGTTGATCTGTTTACAGATAGTCCATCTGAATAACTGTTTTCTTTTGTAAAGAAAAAAATTCGATCCGTAAATGAAGAACAATGCTTTTGAAGTGTCGCTGCTTGGGTTTTTCCGTTCGAAAAAAAAAACATGAAGTCAATACTTACGTGAAGAAACGATATTATTTTCTACGACCAACAACACTCACTTAATTGGTCGTATATATGAGAGAGAAAAGCAAAAACATCTATTCACTTATCTGCTCCAGTCCATAAGAAATCGGGAACGAAAGATGGCGTACACTTCAAAAATTGTAAGAACAATTACATCAAGCATATAGATTCCAATAAATATCAAAATACGTACATTTGTTTGCAAAAAAAAAACAAACATATTTAATATATAAATATATGTAGAATGACAAGAAAAGAGAGACGACATGGATGTTTATGCTTATCTTTGTTAGTATCCAACGTCTACTACACAGTTGACAAAAAGGAAAAAAAATCTGGTGAACGTACATCATCATTTTCATCTCGTGTATCGACAAAAGCAGACACTTGCGGGTGTGGGTGTGGATTTTCTCTTTATTCACACCCACACCCACACCCACACCCACATCCCCACCCCCACCCCCACACCACACCATATTAGCTGCTTAATTCAAACTAAATTTTTTCTTAGTCAGTGTGGTACGTCCTCAGGTCGACGAATATGGAGTCCGTATACGACAGTATCTCGTCGTATTACGCGGCTCAGTATTACGATCGTTTATCTTCGTGACCGTATACGGAGGATTAACGATAATAAACGATCGTATTTTAGTCGTATATGATCGGTTTTCAGAGCCTATTTCAGACGGATATTGAGATTATAGTGAGCTTCATTTAAGGATCTGCACGCGCTTTTCTGATTCCGGTTGAAGAATCAAAGATATC